ACCATTTCAATAATACTAGAGTTGACTCTCTGCCCATGTACACATTCGCATTCGCAAAACATTCGTATCATTCGATGCGAATGCAAATGTCGAATGGGAATGTTTAAAATGATGCGAATTATTCGCATAACGAATGCGAATGCAAATATTCCCAGCATCCCAGATTTATATTGCAAATTCGGAGTGATAAATATGTACCTATTTACCTTAATCATATGCTGATAGCTAGGCCCCTGCTTCTTTGTATTTTCTTTTTAGCCGACGTCAAAAAAAGGAGGAGGCAGATTTCTATAACTCTTTTTTTTTTAAGGAAAGGTGGTACGTCAGAGGTGGTACCATACTAATTTGGTTTAGATCCGATCATTACATCTTCTTAAATTTGTATATCGATTGCTGAGCGGAAGATCGACCTATCGGGGCAGCCAGTTCGAAAACGCGTTTTTGAATCGGCAGCTGAGATAGAGCATTTTTGAATCGGCAGCTGAGATAGGGTGTTCTTCAACCAAATTCTAAAATAGGGCTTACTTGAAAAGGATGGGCCGATCTTCAGTCGAGCAGTCGATATACGAATTGAAGTCGGTTTTGTTTTTTGCTTACAAATTACTTGTTATTTGAAAAGGTTAGAGTTTATCCAAAGTGAAGAGATTTACGTATTGGTCCTGCTTGGAGATAATTTTAAAAATTCTATAAAATGTTGTATGTTTGAAATGCAACCGTGGACACCAGCTTACAGTAAATCTTTAAAATTTGTGTCCGCTCAAAAGCTTTTTATGTTGCTCTCTTTGTGAGAAAAAAAACCTTCTATTGTTAAGTGGCTAATTTCTCTACTCCTTGTGTAATCCGTGTCTAAAACTTACTAAAATATGTATATAAATAGTAATAGCTATACAAAAATTAGAAGAATGAGGCCCTTAACTGTAGTAAGGGTTTTGTTTTTTGAGATTTGTGTCGTTATTGGAGAGGGCCTACGATATATATGCACATACATATAATTTAAGGGATATTTTTAAGCACTACATATATAGCGACCAGTGGCGGATTTAGATGGTGGAGGGTTTTGGGGGTTGTGTGGAAACATGCAGTAAACAGGTGTTGATTTATATAATTCATCGAACGTACCTTATCGAAAAATATTTCCCACACTTATGTATCATAAATGAGAAATAAAATATTTGTTTTGTTGCATAATGCATGCTTTTAGCATATTTCCTAAAAAACATGTATTGTGTGGGGACAGAGAATCTGTTGAGGTTCTTCACTCTCCATAAAAAATAAAAATCGGTACTGTTTTTCCATCGGAATTCTAAAATCTGTTATAATTTAAGACTTCTGCCAAAATATGTTGGGAAAATATTTAGATTTACTCTGAAATACATGCCAAAATCGGTTTTTTTTTATAAATAAAATTTGCCTTTAAAAAAGAAGTGTTCAAAAAATCACCTCAAGTGTGGAAAATGTTTAAAAATTTTATCAACGAAATCAAAATAATGAGATTTTTGGAGGTATTTTCAAATCGGTACCGCTCACGTAAATCTAAATATTTTGCCAAATATTTTGACCAAAATTTAAAAAAATAATAAATCTTATAATTCGGGTGGAGAAACCGCCAATTTTTTTGGTGAAGCATCCTAATATTTAAATATGAACTAGCAAATACCCCTTTCGCTTCGCTGCTGCCAAGGCAAGTGAGGGAGAAGGTTCTAGCGGAAATATCGAAAAATATTTGTTTCTATAATGGATTCAATTTTTTTTACCAAAATTTTAATTAGGAATATAAGATAAGCTGATATAATCCAAAATCGGTTAACAAACTCAACAAAATCATAAGTTTGCCATTATTTTGTGATCAATTGGCATTAATTTTAAGAAAACTGCTCTCTTATATACATTCCAAAAATTTAAAAGAAAAATTGACTAATCTCATAACGACAATAGTTTTACCAAACATGTTGATATATCACGAAATTGCATGTTTCTTATTCTCGCCAGTCAATAAGACTAAAAAATGTTCAGAACATCGTGCCAAAGAAAATTCTTAGGTTGGGCCCTAGTTTCTGTCAAATGGCACAAGAATTTGAAACGTACTGAGCAGGCGAATAACAAACATCGACAGACGATTTCACTGCCGAATTTATCATGTGGCGCAGGTGTATCTTCTTTTTTTCACCAAAATTTAATGTTTAATGAGCGTCTTTCTTTTAGGTACTGGTCTTAACATACGAAAAGAAGAGCTGCCTGAGGATTCTATTGACGCCTTGAACCAAGGTGATAAAAGTCTTTTTTTCCGACCATCTTTGTTTATTTGCAACGAGCGAGCGGTCATTTTCAACCCTTCGAAGGTTGAGTACCTATTTGCGTAGTAGCACTGGGTAGGAGAGATTTGTTGGGTTGACGCTCCTAAAAATCACGAATGATGCAATTTTCTATTTAAAAATGATGTATAAAATAAATAAATATACTTATTATAATAAATATTTTTTTTGGGTCCGTCCCTGACCGAAATTTCCTCCTTCTTAGATATTTTAACATCTACCCGTCGAAAATCAGCTTTAGTTAACATAAAATAAAAAAAAATTTAGCAAGTGATGAATTTTCCTTGATCTCTAGTAATGTTTAGCTCTCAAAAATACAACAGCTACATTTGTATGAAGAAAATTCGATTTTGGATGTTGAAGGAACGTGTAACGAACGAAATTTTAAATGACGCCAGAATACTCTCATAGTACCACGGACAGTAATCACAAACTTTATTTCTATTTATCGTAATTAAATTTTTGCAAAAAGCCTATATTATTACAAAACCTGTCGTTTCAAACTTGCTTATAACCTCCTTTTTTCTTCAAACCGGGCGCTTAATATATATGACTTTATTTAGCTAGTTAAAATGTTTCTTCCCGTCTTCAAGAATGGTTTTTTTTTTCAAATAAAAAAAAAGTCTGACATACCAGCAATACTTCAAGACTTCATTTTCATGCTACTAAAATCAGTTGGCGAAAGATAAAAGGACTGACCTAAAAAAATATTTTTCGTAGTTACTTACGAGTATGTGTACTTTTACACGCAGAAATCAATAAGGTGCTTGCTTTTGCATTTTTGTCATAATTCTGTTTTTACTTTGTATTTTCACTTATGCAATTATGTATGTACTAATGTATATATTTAACATATGAGATGAGTTTTCTTACGATTTTGTGAATTTTGTGATTTATGACTATACAATGAATGGCGTTAAAACGCGCTTGTGATGTACATACATAGAACATTTAAATATTTTTGTATTCTTTTGTTTTTTTTTTTTGTGTTTCCATATATTTTTTCTTGGTATACATGTGCTCATAAGATTAAGACTGAACGTGCACGGAAATACAGGGTAGTTCCATTGGTAATACAAAATTGTTGTGGTAACTTAATATTATATCGTTTGTATATTTGTATGTAATTGTAAAGCATATGGTACATGTTATAACAAATAAGTCATACATTTATGTGAATAACACAGTTTAAAAAATTGGGCGTTCACAAAATTGTTTCGATTAAACAAACCAACTTCTAGGGAGACGTAAAGACGTTTTAAAAATTGAAGGATACCCTTTATATTACATAAATGAAAGTATCTATAGTAGACATAAGTGTTAGCAGTAAAATATAAATATAATAAATAGTTTTTATCGACATAATACATATTTTTTTTTTAAAGCAAAAACAAAAATTCTTATAACTTAGAGTCCACTTAAATATTAACAGAATATCTTAAAAATATGTAAAATAAATATTTGTTAGCAAAATCTTGCTCAACTACCTAATGTTGTAATGTTGCTGACATAGACACCCCTATTGCGAGTGTCGACTGGCAGTAGAATAGAAATTTGTCGATCGAGTCGATCATCTTTTATTTTGCTATTGTGTAACTTGATCGATAAAAATTTGTACTATTGTGAATGGTTGACAGACTTGTAAACAGCTGTTTGTTTGTTTACATTTGTTTCTTGAGTGTTTTATTTACATCATTTTTAAAATAATTGCTTTTATTATAAAATTTAAAAAATGGACACAGTTGAAATATGGTTTGGTGATGAGGAAGATGATGCGGAAGCTAATAGATTAGTAGAGTTGGCTAAAGCAAGGAGGGAATTGCGAGATTCGTCGGATCCCTTGGACTTGGAAGGTGTATGTACATGTGTGAGTTTTATGAATAGAAGTTGCGTTCCCGATGCTTCACGGTTTTTAGGCTTTACATGATTTGCAGGAAAAGCTGTTTTCCTCATTAATAAACTTTATGGAAGTTTAAGAAATACGGTACGGTTAAGTTTTTTGTACAATGATGTTGGGTTTTTGTGTCCAAACGCGTGACCCGAGTTTAAAAACTTTAACATAACAACATAACAAGTGTATTGAAAGAATTCAACTTTAATTTAAAATAAAGATTTCAAATTTCCGAGCACTAGTCAATTAATAAATTATGCAGTTTTTTTGTATAAACTTTTGATGTTGGTTCTGCGCAAAAACATTGTGGATGGCGTAGCCGGAGTTATATGCACAAGAAATATTGTATATGTATCTTTTCCAATAGAAGCGGAGCTTCCTACCCTACTCTTTCCGGAAATTCCTTTGCCCATGTCTTCACTCTCCTGCATCAGTACGAACAACCGCGCAAGTTGCCTTTTGTTGCTTATAATTTTTGATCTGTAATTCAGACACATACATGCATATGTATATTTCACAATTTTTTACAACTTCCAGTTCAATTGACTTACTTTTTATCCATTATAGTACCACTTTCTTATGTAAATTTTATAAACGCAAACTCCAACGACTAAAAAACAGCAATAGAAGGATGAGCGATTAAAAAGTATTCACAGTCGCTAATTGAGCGACTAAGCGACACTCGCAATAGCATCGATAATCGATAATCGCTTAATAGTCGTTTATCTACTGCCAGTCGACATTCGCAATAGGGGTGAGAATACTACCATTTTACCACTTTTTCCACACATATTTTTCTTTAAAAAAAGTGTGCTCTTCCTGTTTGCTCTTCCTGTTTTGTGTTGTGTACGTACATATGTATATGATAAAAATAATTTGTTAGTCTATTTATGTTTATAAATTTCACTTTTTACTTACACAACTATGTACTTAGCTACAGCTATCAAATATTTATATATATATTTTGTTTTTATTTTTTTTATTTAAATTTAAATTTTTAATTCTAACCTACGATATCTAGACTTTGAGCATCTGTAACAGTCGCTGCTTTAGTGGTTGTTAATGTTGTTGTTGTCATTGGTATCGTATTAGTATTGGCATTTAATAAACCGTTACCATTTCCATGCACATTATTATTGGCATTACCATTACCATTGTAGTTAGCAGTGGTGGTTGCCGGCGACAAAGAATTATTGGAGGAGGATTTGGTTAATGGTGTGGCAGCGGTCACATCGGCCATGTTGCAAGTATTATTCGCATAGGAGTCGGGAAATTGTGGCGGTGGCGGGGGTAGTAGTGGTGTCAGGCCATCAATCGCATCATCCAGGCCGATGACAGAGATGGGCGAAATGCCGCCAGCATTGGAATTAATCGGATCCATGAGTTGATGGTGGTGGCGTAGGTGCGATTCAACCGTAGTGGCATCATTTTCGAAGGCGGGCGGTGGTGGTGGTGGCGGTGTTTGGTAGCAATTAATGCCATTCGCGCCACAAACATAAAGATCGGCCATAGCGTCAGTTAAAGACGACAGTTGCGATTGTTGTTGTAGTTGTTGTTGTTGTTGTGGTTGGTTGTGAAGGTGCATATTATTTACAATAGAAAACCGTTCACCATTAGTGGAAATAGCAGAAATGGAATTGGGTGTAGTTGTTGTTGTTGTGGTTGGTGGTGGTAGTGGTGGTGGTGGTGGTGTTGGTTCATAGTTGTTAATTGGATTGGAGTTCATGTGGATGTTGGATGTGGAATGAGGTATTGCAGAAGTGTGATTGTTTGAGGTATTTGTGGTGGTAGTAGCAGTAGTGTTGGTAGCATTAGTAGTAGTATTAGCATTAGCGAAATTTCCAATTTGATTAGCATTACCAATTCGATTAGCATTACAATTGTTAGTGTTGTTGGTGCTTGTCGTCATTGTGGTCAAATCGAGCGTTGCTGTTGTTTGATTTGGCGATGCAAATATGGCTGATGATAGCTGAGGTGACGTTGGTGACGTTGGTGATGGTGTTGTCGGTGTTGTTGTCTGTGAGTTTAATGGTGGTGGTGGTGGTGGTGGTGTGTAACGAATTGATGGCGGTGGTGGTGGCGCTGACTGGGCTGTTGTGAGCGACTGTGACGGTGATTGTTGTGAAACATATTGTTGTTGTTGTTGTTGTTGTTGTTGTTGTTGTTCTAGCGATAACTGTGGTTGATATTGTAAATTGTTTGCACTCGAATTGGGTGTCATCGTTGGTGGTGTCGTTGTTGTTGTTGTGGTTGTTGTTTTCGCAAAAGTAGCAGTAGCTGTCGTTGTTGTATTATTTGTATTCATATTGTTTGTGGTGTTGTTGGTATTGTTACAAGCGTTTGCATTTGAATTTGCACTTACATTTGCCACATTTGTACTACTAATACTATTACTATTTACGCTACTACTATTATTGTGGTTTACTAAATTATTACAATTTTGCTGCGCATTTATATTACCATTGCTACAGATTTTACTGTAGAGATCCGGTGTGGCCGTTGTCACATCCTCGAATTCGGTGCGCAACGCTGTGCGTTCGAGTAGCTGCAGGTTGCGCGGCAAAAACGAGAGTATATTATAGATCAGACGTATATCTTCGCTGGAGGTCCAGACGCCCGGACGTTTATTGTGATACAGCTTGGCGTACTGATAGATGCTCGCCGTGTTGCAGTACTCCATTTCCATCGCCAATGACGATATGGCACAGAAGGTGCATGCTTGGGCACCGCCGTATCTGTGTGTGGGAGAGAGAGAGACAGAGAAAGGGAGAGACAATGTTATTGTGTTGCTCCAAACTGATAAACCGAAAGTTGTAAGGATAGAAAAATCAAACATCCTAAAGCGAATACTATAGACCGTTCTTATGGGTATAAAATAATTCAATAAAACGAAGTTCTCTCTATTATATTGAGCACTCACTTCTTTACAGATAATATATATTTATATACACTTGCTTATCCACCCTTAATTTTGAAACCTGGACGTATACGTCAGGCAGTTTTTACATAGATGGATTGAAACTTTACGGAAGAGTTCGTAGACAAATTTCACTAAAATTTAATTTTACATCCTTATTATCTACATATCTCGAATGGTAGGCCGCACGAACGATTCCCCTGCAGAGGAATGCCTTAAAATAAGTCCGGCGGTATCTTTCTAGCCGGTTTAAATGTAACCGAGACGATTGCAAACTAATCGACGTAAGGCAAAACGAAGACAACCGAAAGAATAATAAAATTGCAATCAGAGACGATGTTGTCTACAGACGAATAATAAAACTCTTAGACCCTTAAACTGCGGTAGTTTTCCCAGCAAAGATAGCTGTCAGGAAGCTGTCATACTTTTAAATAGATTACCCTAATGGCAGTTGAGCGACAGCTTGGCGAGCATCAGGACATGCGCCAATGCAAGGGGCCAAAGAACGAATGAATTAAATATATCTCATAACGCTCATTAAGCCACAACTTTCAACTCCGGGGAGTTAGTTGATATGACACTGCCCGATGCAGTCTAGACAACGTGGATCGCATTCATTTTAACAGCTCTAAGAAGCTCTCCGAACAGACATAAGCCGGCTGTAAAGCCTCGTTCTCGGCAAACTGCCTTTTGCGCTAAACCTTATGGTATTACAAATGACCTATGTTTATGATCCAAGCGTGTCCTATGTATGAAACAACCACCTGAATATAACCTAATTTCACCATGGAAAAAATGAAGGTCAATTTCATCGCCAAAATTTAAGGCAGGGCTCAAAATTCGGCCAATTGCATGTGCGCAAACAACGTCAGGGAATCAGAATCAACAATATGCGTATGGATTTCCTTCATTTTTGGCCAACAATTAGTGATGTGATAGGTTTGAAATGGCATGTGAGGAGATTATAAGCATCCAGCTATTTACTTCGCATATTAGACGTACGTTAGGTGTATCAAGGCTGAGTCCTGATAGATGGAGAACTTTGATCTGTTTCAATATTCACAATGGAATGAGGTTTCTTATAGAGGCAACTTAAACTCTTCGTCCACGATGGTGGTCTTCGAAGACAACATTTGTAGGTCATAAAGTTTCAAGGTCTTGCGTGCATCTCGCTAAATGCCATTTAAGTTCCATTGTTCGAACCAGGTCGTTGATATATTTGGTATGCCTTCTGATAGGTTAGAGGTCGGCACAGCTTAAAGTTATTACTTAGTAAAGTCATCGTTGCGGTAGAAACCCAGCAGGAATTGATTTCTGGGGGTTATTGTTGTACTTATTTATTTCCACTGACAAGTCTGGTGCTTATTCAACTGTGCCCTACTAACCGCTGGAGACAAAGCTGCAGCATTATTTAGAACTGCCCAGCCTAGCGCGTCATATACTGCCTATATTTCTTTTTGTATTTACCCTAAATGCTGTCGAAAGTGGATTTTGAGAATCTAAACTTAGTTGATGATTGAGGCTCTTTGCGCCAAGAAGGAGACACAGCTGTCGATGGTAACGTTCAAATTTATGGGTCATCGACAGAGATGACTGCACCTAGTCCACTAAGGAGTACCATGGCCTGGGCTGTCTTCACCACTGAGGACCACCTAGGTTCGCTGGTTTACCTTGTATCAATAGAACTAACCCCTTATCTATCTCAGTGATTGCTAGGGTGGCTAACAACCGACCGCTTCAAGAGAAATCATATTCGAGCAGTGTGATTTTTTCAGTTTTGCGGTCAAATTCGGCGTTAAATTTTACTTTCTAAGCGCACATTCATACAGAGCATGCTTGTATGCGAGCAAAAAAAAACTTTCCAAACATATATATATGAAACTTACCTATCCACAACGACAATCGGTCCATTGCGATAATCAGCGCACCGCTCGTGCACGTCGACAATAAAATCGTAAATACTCTTTGGATTGGACATCTCAGGCCAACTGGGACAATGTAGCATTTTCACATTTAGCTCGTAATCGTCCTGTATCGATTGAATGACAAAATCACGACTAACATAATCGCTTTTGTTCGTTTTACGTAGGAATTTGACGCGATAGTAATCGCTTTCGATGGGTGTCGAGTCATCTGGCCAAAATTGTGCGAAATTCTGCAGAGAGAGAGAGTGGGAGAGAGATGTGCAAATACACATGTAGATATATACTAAGTACGTACGTGAGTAAAATCGTGTCAAAATATCTGTATTAGAATGTGGAACTTTTATGTTAAACTACAAGTACAATGTAAGTGATGTTGCAGTAAGACTTAATTTTAATGTGATCTAAAGGGATCGGCATACGTATGCAGTCAATTAAATAATGCAGCGATGTAAAAGGAAAAAGCGCATTTCTCCAAACAAAGTAGGGAAAAGTAATTTAAGGTAAGGCCTTAGAGGAAGACAACTTCGATAATTAACTCGCAAAAAAATGTTTAATTAACATTTTGTTGAGTAATCTGAAATATCCTTCGCCTATTGTCTGGCTTAATTTAAGTAAGTAAGTTAGAAAAGTATTAAGTTCCCATTTCCAACTTACAATTTCGTCCAGCGACGACAGCAGCACAATGGTCTGCGCATTATGGTCCCAAACCATTTGCCAGAAGTCTTTCACGGTGTGCGACATCGGATGCTGGGTGACAATAAAGTCCCGCAATCGTCGAAAGCCATGCAACCACGACGCATTTATGTAGTCGCTACCCTCCTCACCCGGCTTGGGTGTCAAGTGTACGCGACTACTCTCAATCGGAAATATGGCACCACGATTCTTCACCGAATTCACCTGCTTCATTGCAGATGCAATATGTATGTCTTTCGTTTGGAATTGTATAATATTCTTGTACTGCTGCTCCAGATAGGGTGTGCAGTTCTTCAGTTCCTCAATTTGTTCGGTGCGCAAATTCGTTTCGCCCGAGGCGATCGCTTCGACCAATGCGTCGTGTATGAAAATGTACTGCTCCTCGGTCTGTACGAGGAAATTACGCTGAATGCGTATGTGTCGTAGGAAACCGAATACGTTGACGACCAATTTCTGTTGGATCTGCTTGAGCATGGCATCTAGCACGATATAGGTGCCTGTGCGTCCAACGCCGGCGCTGTACGGTTGCACACAAAAAAAAAAAAACAGCAGGCAATCAGATGAGTTGACTTAAAGCAAAAAAAAAAAAAAACAAAATGGGAACAAACATGCGCCCTAACATACCTGCAGTGCACCACAATGGGGCCCGCATCATCGGGATTAGCTGCTGAGGACTTCTTCACAAAGTCCAACACCGGCAGAGGATGATCGGGTGTACCATGATCCGGCCAATTGGTGTAGTGATATTGATATACAATCTTCTCAGTCTGACACTGCTTCTTTTTCTTTAGCTATAAGATATTTAAAAAAAAAAATAAGTTATAAATATCTTCTACGGTTCGCGCATACCTGTTTTACCTTCAAGTGCTTGATTTGCAGTGTGCGCACTGTGTAGGTGGACATTACCTCCTCATCGACCATTTTCACTTGTATTACCCCATACGTTTCGACGCCATCTTTTGGCCAATACATATCGCATTTCCGTCGACCGCGTTCCACCAAATTCGTAATCATCACAATTATAGACACACGCTGCTCCCAAATCATGCGCCAGAAGCAATCGAAGGTGTCTGGCAGTGGACCTTGCGTGCCGACGAAGGCGCGCGATTTCTGATAGCCATCAATGAAATTGGCATTAATGTAGTCGAGGTTCTTCTTTTGTCCCGGTGTGGGATGCAAATGTACGCGGCTGTGATCATCTGGGTGGAAATTTAATATTTTTAATTCGTTTTTGGAAAAGCTATTTTGTACTAGCTATTTTGTATGCAGTACTTACAGGCTGTGATATTGAGATAGCGATTTTTGCGCTTATTCTCTGGGTGTTGGGAATGTTCGCAGGGTAAATCATCGATTGATTCATTTTGAATAGCTTCATACTCGCGACTGAAACCAATATCGCCATCAGCATGCAGGGAGGCAACATGTTTGGCAAACTCATTGACTGGTACGGCGGCGCGTATTTCGCCAGCTACTTCGACGGGTGCTTCCCAGTCGACTTGTGGCAAATTTGGATGATGTGGTGGATCGTCTAAATAGTAGTAGGCAGCATGAAAGCATTTCCTGCTGGAAGAAAGAAAAAAAGCGGAAAAGATGGAAGGTGTTACAATTGCTGATGTAAAATTTGTAAATTAATACTTAGGTTATGCTTAGGCTAGGGGCCAATTTATAAAGCTTAGCATTTACGTGGGATATTAAGTGGAACAGCTTGTATATTTGAGAACCATTTGATAAAATTATGTGATAATACAAAGTCAGTAAAGCGACCTGACTGTCCAAGAATTACTGCTTGGAAATTAACCCCAGTTTGTCTGTCTTTAAGTTTTCATCCATCTGTATATGCGTAGGTTTAGTATATGGCAGAATTCCATAAGCATGTGCAAAAATGTTGCACTTGCTTATGGGGTTCTGCCTGTGCTGCCCATCACTGATATAGACCTTATCAATGTCGTATGGTAGACTCGCTCTCATATTAAATATATGAAGGGAGGTATTCTCACCAGAGCAGTGACTATGAGTGCTTTGGAAGGGCTTTTAGAAGGCAATCATTCGGTGAAATTTACTAGTTAAGTTTGGCCATTCAGTTCTTTCCTTAACTGTAGTCCACCGAGCTAGGAAATCACAGCCAAGTGTTCGCTTAACAATTGTGTTACCACTGATTGTGTGTATATAGAGGAGTTCATATATAGAATAGAGGAAAAACTATATCTCTTTGGTGGAAATTTTTTGTGGATGTAATTGATTTTGTTGTGCTTTAAAGCTGCATCTTCATTGGTTGTTTGTGATGATGATTACACCTCGCTTGGCATATTTCATTGCCCTATCCGAGGAATGGTCGGTAGACCCTGACATGTCCATGAAGGCACTAAGTGCCAGAGAATTTCAATTCATGAAGTGGTCTATGAATGGCAGTTTCAGTGGATGTGCCTGGTTGATAGGCAAATTGGTGTTGCTCAGAGGCCATTCGCTGAGGTTGGGTTTGAAAGGAAGTAGCTGAAGTTAATCGGTTAGTAGGGCAAAGAAAATTATAAAGTTTAAGGCCTAAGGGGCCGCTTTAGCTGAGTGGTTACAGATGCGTACTAGCACTCCGTAGGCCCTGGGTTCGATCTCTGATCCCATTAAATATACAAAAGTGATCCTCAGCTCCGGAAAGATTCCGGACATAGCTGATTCAGAAGCAAGTAAAATTCGAGCTATAGCAGAAAAATGGCTGACAGCTTTATCCGAAAACAAGACCCCAGTATGCAAACTTCGAAAATCGCTTGATGGCTTACGACAATGTGGCTTTCGGTGGTATCAGAAGTAAGCACTAAACTTTACAAAATGGAACTTCACTCATCCGAATGTAATCCATGCCTTTTATTATGCATAAGAATTCGAACCCTACGATGATTGCTGTTTATGTGCACGATTTATTAATAGCTACGAATGATCAGTCGCAATTAATTTATAACGAACAGTCTCTCGCTTAAAGCTTAGAGATGAAGGATATAGGTCCAGTCAAAACTTATTTGTGTATAGAGCTTCGACAAGCTCGAAAAAAATACAACTCTTTTTTAAACCAACGTGAGTAGTTATGCAGAACAAAGTTCAGAACTTCTTTAAATGGAGGACTGCAAACCAGTAAAAACTCTACTGGAATTCAACAGTAAACTTTGAAATGAAAAATTTTCCATATCAAAGTTTGATTGGTGCCTTACTATATTTGGCTGTAACAACATGCCCCACTTAGCTTCAATTAAGTTTTGAGTTGAAATGCAAAATTGTATCCTACTCTGGTTACGCCTTTATATTAGCCGGAGCGGCAATATTGTGGTAGGCACACAAGCAGAGGTCTGTTCTACTATCGAACATTTATTTTTAATTATTTGTTTATATAAATATAGTTTATTTTTTAACAAAAACCATATACATGAATACAAGTTTCAATCTTTGTGCAAAAAAAAGTCCTCAAACTTTTGTAAAAATTTCGAGCTTTTTCATTAGATTTTTTTGAAAAAATTTTTGTGTACTGAGCTTTGTAACACATTAAATTTTAGTATAACAAATTGCTGAAACTTGGCAATATGTGAATGACAGTCAATATGCACAAAAGTTAGCGCAGAGGAGTGCTTATCTTTCGCGTACCAAACACTTAGATGTACGTCAGCACTAAATACGCGAAAAATTACAAAACGGCGATATCAACTGAAGCCATGTCTGCAGATGTGCCCTTAAAGGGGTTACCTGCCGAAAAACACTACAGATGCATCGGAGATCTGGGTATGGCTGATGCAAATTGATTGTTGCTGCATTCGAAATACTTCGAGGGGAGGTGTTGAAGAGTACGAAGCAAGCTTTTGCACCACCTATTATTACGGTGACCATATTTATGGCAGCCGAATACGGCGCAAAAAAATAATTTTTCCAATTTCCCACCAAAGCTAGAGGATTTTAAAAACTTTTTCAATGATCCTAGATTTGTTAGCCCTGAAACAGCATCTATATTTCGCGTATAGTTTCTGACCTATTGTGTTCAGTAGTAACGCCAAAGAATTTGTAGAATATTTGTCCATAACTTTGTACTATTTGTATGCTCAGGATTTTTACCCCCGCAAAATTTGTTACCCACATTACTAAGCAGGGAAACACCATGAAAATATCTGAGCACTTTTGAAGCACGAGTGTTATTTACGGGTAGTTTTCGACTTGGATTTAGGCCAAGCACACAGCTGTGAATAGCAACCGGAACGAGCTAAATTGCAAAGCGTACCTTTGAAGTTATCTCCTTCCCTTCCAAACTTTGCGAACTTCTTTACTTTTACAATATTCTCGTGGTAGTATTCTTATTTTGAATTTCTCATGTTGAAGATACAACCCTTCTTACAATCAGCAATAATTTTCTTTTGGCGTAGTTTCACCTAATGAGCATCATGATTCAATAATAAAAGGTTAGATAATTATTGACAGCTGCGGTTTGACACTCCCTTACAAAAGGTTGCATTTACTAAGGATAGAGAAAGGGGAAGAATGCAATCCCGTTGTTGTGAAAATGGTAGTAGAAAAGTACGCAAAGTAGGCAATTAGTACTGAAATTCCTTTTGTAAATTCTAATGTATTTGCAGGAAATCTGGCATTTTGAACGAAATATTGAACGAAATATTAATATGTTTACGTGAGTTACGTAATTTATGTGCTATTTAGCTGCATAAAAACTGCAAAAGGACTCAAAAATTAAAATAAATAATAAAATAAAATAAATAAAACTATGCGATTTATGTAAACATCCAATTTTAAAGAAATTTATATTTTCATCAGTTAAATGTGCTTCTTATGCATATACAAATAAACATATTGCACAGAAGCTTATACTTCTATTTCACAGCAAAGCTACACTTTTTCCACGTAAATTTGCAAAGAAGCAACACGGTGCCACTGCCTAAGGAAAAATAAAACTCAGTTAATAACGATTAAAAAGTGATTTTTATAATAAAAGTTATAATCGTTACGGCCCCTGAAAATTTTAAATATCAAAACTTATGAATTCAAAACAAAACAAAAAAATTCTTCTTGAATAAAGCTTGCTCTGATCTACAGAATAGTATAAGGTGTTTTACAAGAGAATGGTATAAGGAAAACTTAAACTTTCAATTGGACATTAAATGGCAAATATAAAAAAAAAAAACAAAAACAAAATTGGACATTAAAAAAATATCGGTGTGATTAAATTTCTAAAAATATTCTTTAAAGTTGTGTCCAGATGGTATTTCTAATTAAAAGAAATTCTTTGGCATTGACAAAAAATGTCTGCCATAAATGACCATTTTTAGAAACATCATGAGGCAGGTATTTTAAAAGCCCAATTTAATCATAAAACGTTTGTCAATTAATACCCGGTGGAAACACGGCGTTATACAACCTTCTTGTGTTTTTGTTTTAATTTTAATAATATTTTTTTCGCATTTCCACAAGAAATTGTTATCCTTTGATTCGTATTTGAATATTTTTAATTTTTAATTAAGTAACTACTTTTGAGCGCAGTTAATGTAGCATATTTAATGGCGTACTCAACCACTGCAAACAAAATTAAAAAAAAAACATTCATTGCTCATTCATTTCATGAGTAGCCAATAAAGCATTGAACTAATAAAGGCTTGAGTTGCTTAGTTCATTAACCATGAGATATGCAGATTGAATAGACTAAAAGCCGTGAATAAATAAAAAAAATAATAAACGAGAAGTTGCCACATATAAACGGCCCTCAGCGAGCGCTTCTATAAAATGTTGGATATTTGCGCCACCTGTTTGCCCGTGCGGCAACGATTAAAAAGGTTTGCAAATAATAAAAAAATATATTAATAATAATCAGACTGAGGAATCAGTAAATGACGCAAAGGAAAGCAGATTATTACATACATAAATTACAAAATACATAAACAAATATTGCTAGTAGATATGTATTTCTGGTTTAGTGGTTGGTAGCCTACAAAGTTGATTGCAGAAAAAAAGCACTTTCAGCAAATGAAGTGTAATACTCATGGCATGGTAGAGAAACGAAAAAAAAATAAAAATAATAATACATAAAATGATTACAGCAAAAGTAATAATCAGGAAAAAAAGCGGATAAATGCAATGGCCGGGAAAAGCGCTCCCTAAGCACTCAATTAAATGAAATAGAGTAACGCTGAAAGTATTAAAAGTGGATGGAATGAAACAATTTTTTTTTCTAAGTATATTAAATGCATAAACGAGCAAAAAGAAATTAAAAAAAAAACTAAATAGTTGCAATTAGTGTAGTTCACTTTTTCTAATACTCATAATAAGCATTAAATTACACTTTTGTTCATAATTCACTATAAGGTATAGAAGAGTAACAAAAAGGGGGAAAAAAATAAGTACTCACTCAACAAGACTCACGAGAATTTATTGCGGCCGCAAAAAGGTCAAAATAATTTCGCTGATTTATCATTGCATTTATGTGTGTGTGTGTGTGTGTGCAGTGAAATAGACGTCTTAGCGTTTCGAGTTCATTTAATTAATAACAATGTTAATTTTGACAACCACCTAATTTTTTAGTAATTAAG